TTTTTTACTTATAATATATCCATCAAATCATACTTTTACCCATCACATCAAAGGACATTTTGGAAATTCAATACCAAAATACACTCTCATTAAATCCTTCTTCAAAATCAAAACTCTCATGTTTTTCGTGATGGAGGGAATATGTATTTAAGATTTTTTTCTCTCATCTCTACAAATTATTACAAAACTTTAATATTTTTCTTAAATTGGTGAAATTAAAATGATCAAAGTATTTGGAGACATGCCGAGTATTCCACAATGCATGCATATTTATGCATGCTTGTGTTTACATAGTGTTGGCCATATCCTTATAAAATACTCCGTATTCCGTTACGTTAGTTCCAATTTAAAGCTCTTAGTTTGACTTTGCATGAAAATTAAGAAAAGTAAATGGTATGATTGATACTGGTGTGGAGGTGAGAGGATAAAGGTGAATCACAAAATGCTTTCCAAAAAAAGAGATTAATTTAGGATAGCCAAAAAAGGAAATAAAGAAGATTAATTTGAGACGGAAGATGTGTGTATACACACACAATGTTACCTTCTGGGCCGTTTTGCAAAGTGTCCTATTTGTAAGACATATTTTTTTAATAACAAGTAAAACAAATTTATATTAAAGCCAAATGGCACTTACAATCAATGAGAGACTTCTGAAATGAAATAGCAAAGAAAGCATAGCACATAAAATTTGTTGAACTAAATGCAATTGGAGCGCATAAAATAGATCCTACAGCAAGGATCCATATACTTGATCATGTAAGGAGAATATTTTAGGGTATTTTACGCAAATAGGACTTAAACATATCACCTCTTTCCTAAATAGATCAGGCTTATCAACTCTAGCGTTTGACAATGGAAAATTTTAAAATATCATGCCTTTGAGAAAAATGATCAGTTACACAATTCAGGTAGAATAAGACATTATTAAAATCAATTTGAATAATCATTGAAACAATCAGTTATTATCCAACATTTGTTGAGAATGACCACATTCGGAGAATCGTTCTTATAATCAGTCATTATCCAACACTTATTGCAAATGTGGGTATATGTGGTAGATCATATGGAATCATGATGTTTCATGACGAAGGAAATGAAACATATTTGGTCCTATTCAGGGAAACATACTATCTTTTAGTCCTATATGGAGCAAATTTTTTCAATATCCTAAGGATGAAAACGACTTACTCTTAATGCATAAGAAAGCGACCATTTCAGATGTAGATCTTATTGGTTTTGATATAGTAATGACAAACACTAGCCATGCAAGTCACGAAGCTGCTACGGAGGGCAACTAAACTAGGACCAAACAAACAAAAGAAAAACACCCACAAAAGGGGGAGAGAAACACCACCATCAAATGGGACCGCAAATCAGATCTCTGAACCACCACCAACCAAGAGGGATATGATCAGATCGGAGTTTATTTAACATGAAAGAAACCGTAGACATCTGGTAGGGAGGAGTTGCAGTAAAAATCTACACTTCCCCCTAGTTTATCGGAATCTGGAAGAAGAAAAAACTTTATAGAGAAAAAAATAAAATTCAATTTTTTATAGAGATCGAAAGGCAACCAAAAAACCAAAGCTAGAGATAATTTATTGGTCAGCCAAGTGTTTTATGATCACTCTTGTGGCTCATACCTCATCTTAAATTGGATTCAATCTTTGTACTATATATAGGAGATGCATATGTGGAGAAAGCAACTAAAAATGTGCAAGGATCTGCGGGTACTCAAGTTGGTGATTTTAATTAGTTGATCTCGTATGAACTATGAGGATTTACAATTAATTAAGAGATCGAGCATTATATTTTGACATATAATTTTCGAAGTATTTTAGAGTTATAGGAGCTTACTTAGAAGGTGGGCAGAGCATCTACTTAAGGGCCCTCTAATTAGTCATTAGCAGAGTTAAGTCCAAATTCTTTATTTACGCATTCATGATGTTTGTCACTTCAAAAAAAATATTAATGGAACCACCAAATTAATTCGAATCATAAAATGAAAACTAACAAAGTTCTCCGTAGTATACGCCTTGGATTTGTGTTTTAGTGAATCATCAAAAAAAAAAAGGAATTTTAAATGGTACATCCACAATGCTAGAAGAAGGGGGGAAATGAAGTTTGTGAGACATAGGCATAGAGCATGAGACATGATTTATTAAACCAACAAAAGAAGATTGTAACTATGATCATCCCTTCCAAAATTATTTTCTCACTTGTCATTTTAATTTTAGATGCTACATTACGAGAATTTTCTAGACACGAGCCCAGATCGATCCGAATAGCGGACTTAACAATTGAAACCTGAGCCTGGGCTGGTGAGATCTTTGCATAAGTATTGTTTCCGCATATATATCATACAGTCAGTTATATGATGTTTTTCGTACATTCATAGCAAATACTCATTTATGAGCTATAGAATACTTATTTTGCATATGCATGTTGATTATTTATACTATACGTAGATGTATGAAATGATTATTGTGTTACTCGTATATACTCCCTCCGTCCCATAAAGTCAGTCCCGTTTCAAAAAATTTGCGTCTCTTAAAGTTCGTTTCATTTCTATTAAAAAACCATTTTTACCCTTACTTTTTCATACTCTACCTATCACATCATATTTTTTTTCTAATAATCTACTCATCACATCCTAGCTACTTTTACCCATCACATCAAGGACATCAAGAGTATTTTTGGAAAGTCAACACAAAATTATCTCTCCTTATTTTACCACCTTAGTCAAACCGTTTCAATCTTTATGGGACGGAAGGAGTATATTTTTTGTTTAAACGTAATGAATATTATATTATGTAGTTCTCAAATGAATGTATATATACCATATAATGGGCATGTTTTGAATGAATACTAAAATAAGTAAATATGTGAAATGAGTATTCTGTTACTCACATTTGGTATTTCCATGGATATACCGGAACATTATACATCATGATGTACGGTATCAGGACTTGTATTGTTGAAAGAGTAAATTCATAAATGGATATAATCACAGGGAGTATCTATATTTAGTACTCAATTCAAAGATATAATTCTTAATTTTTGAAGACTGTTCCATAAATAGTCTTTTATGCCAAATACAATAAAATATTTTTACTCTAAATAGTCATGAAGGACCGACTATGGAATACTACCTCCGTCCCGCTATATTCGTCCACTTTTGACTTTTGGAACTGTTCATCTAAGCACTTTGACTCATCAAATTCTCTCAATGTGTAAGCCTAAATATAGTCATGTGTGATCTTGTTTAATTTGTCTTAACATATAGATTATTACTCCCTCCGTCCAAGAATAATCTTCTTATTCTACACTTTTCTCCGTCCGAAAATAATCTTCCCATTCTACTCTTTAATCTCAATTCTTCCAAAAATACCCTCCTTCTTCTCCTTTTCTTCCACTCTTTCAGCTTTTCCTTTTTTTCCTCGGCCAGGCCACCACCCCCCTCCCCTTTTTTTCTTTTCTTTTCTCCTTATTCTCTCTCTCTCCCTCCCCTTCTCTTTTCTCCTGGGTTTGTTCTTCTCCTTCTTCTTCATTTCTTCTTCCACTCCTCTCTCTCTCTCTCTCTCTCTCTCTTCCCCCCTTCTTCTTCGTCTTCTTCTTCTCATCCTCAACCTTGTTCTTTTTCTTTAGATCTACGTCTTTGTGCCCCCCTTTTCTTTTTCTTCTTCTTCTTCTAGATTTGTGCTAGCGGCCATAATAGAGCTGATGGGGGCGGTGAGAGCTAGATCTGTACTAGATCTTTTTCTTCTCGGTTTTCCCTTATTTTTGTGGCGAGGGATGAAAGAGATGGTGGGCGCTGGGGCTGGGGCAGTTGTCACCGGTGAGTCAACAGTGNTGGGCAGAAATTCCAAAACAAAGTGGGGCGGCGGTGGGCTGGATAGTGGTGGGGTGGACGGCAGTGGGCTGGGGTGTTTTGGTAGGATACTGGTTGGAGCTTAACCAAAAGATATGGGGGTATTTTGGACATTTTAATATCAAAGTCAAGACTCACTAAAAATGACCAAAAGTCAAACTAGGAAGATTTTTCCCGGACGGAGGGAGTAATATATAATTTCTATAATTTTTTAGTATACAAATTACAAGATAAAATGGATTAAAGAAGTGCATCCGATGGTGTGTAAAAATGAAAGTGGACAAATACTCTGGGACGGAGGGAGTATTTTTAAATGTTGAGATCATCTAAATAGTCCTAAAATATTTGCCACATTTACTTTTTCAACAGACACGAAAACTTTTGTTTATTTGTACGCTTTCATTGATTATTTGATAAAATAAAATATTCTTGACACTTCTTATGTCAAAAAAATCATGTAGTTTTTAAATATGTAAATTTTATTGTTATTTCTATACTAACTTTTAAATAAATTGAATTTAAAAAACTTGATATTTTACCTCGTTTTTATAAATGTTGTAAACATTTATTGAAAGAAGGAGTATATTAACATTAAATCAATTAAAGTCTATTTTGAGGTGAATTGACATAACTAAAATAGGCAAATTCTTCAAGGACATAAGTTTCATGTTTATTTTATGTACTTATTTGTAGCACTAAAAAAGTGGCTTTTTACAAAAAATATCTACATATAAGCCTACCATAAAATGTGAGAAGATCCACGTTTTATATGTTGACCTTGAAACCATATAAACATCACTCTACTAAATATTATACTTTTGTCTACCCCGTATCCCACAAAGATAAAAATAGAAATAAAAAACACACAAAAAAGGATGAGTCTTATCTCCGAATCCCCTCAGACACGGTCAGCGAATGAGCCTCATTGACACTCTTTATCTTTACCAACCGTGCAACGTCTACGGATAAATAAAAAATAAATAAATAACACACAAAATACCCTTACCAGATGTGGAGTATATAAGACGCTCTCACATGGAGCGTGAGAGAAGTGGTAGTCCGTATCTATTTCATTATTTCTTTGTACTAACAAGAACCATGTTTGCGCATACAGTTCTGAGGCTGAAATCTGTGGAAGCTGAAATGTAAAAGAAAACTAGAAGAGAAAGAAAAAATTAAGAAGAAAAAAGATCCCCCTTTTTCACTGCATAAGAAAGAACAGTTTTTTCCTTTGTTTTCTCTTCTTCTTATCTTCGAGTGCCTCCATATCTAATCTGTAAGTTTATTTATCCTTGCTTCTTTATATTTTCCCAAGATTTATTCATTTACCCTTTGTGTTCTTGTTCCTGTAATTAATTTGTTTTGTCGGTGTTAAATCATTTTCAGTTACTGAGTTTAGTGCTAGAGTTTATTAATTTAGGTAAAAATTTCAATAATTTGAATTCGGATGGGTTTCTTTCGAATTTATTCAATCAAAAGATTGCATTTTTCTGGTGATTTGTTGAACCTTTCATTTTATGGAGTGATTATATGTTGAAGTGATAAACAATATTTTGGTAGCTTTGGCCATATGGGGATTGGTCTGGTGTTCATCTCTACTCGGAAGAGCTGGATGTTTGGGCAGGTTTTCCTTTGGGGTTCTGTGGTATTTAGAACCAGGGTTTTTGGACTTGATCAAAGGATTCTCTGGAAGTGGATTTGATGTTGAGTTTATTTCATTGAGGGGTTTTAGATGTATATGAATCCAGAAGATTTGTGCACAAAAATATAATGAATTGCAGTTTGAAAAAATGGCTCATATTTCAATTTTCTTGTGAAGGTTGTCAATGATGCAGAGGGTGCGGGTATCGTCTCATCAATTTCCTTTCCATAGATTAGGGGATTCCCAAATGGCGGTTTCCCCAAAATTTAGAATAGACTCAACATGTTCTTCTCTGAAAGGTCCTTCTATGGACACGGAATTGGCTCTCAGAGGTGACCCTCTGATTCCAGGACTACCCGATGATGTGGCACTCAATTGCCTCCTCCGGGTACCCGTTAAAAACCATGACGCGTGCAGGGAAGTGTGTAAGCGCTGGTATTTTCTTTTTGGGCATAAAGAATGGTTCTTTTCAAGAAGAAAGGAGCTTTCTTTCTTGGACCCATGGCTATTTGTATCAGTCTTTGACAAAAGTTCTGGGAAAATAGAGTGGAAGGTGTTTGATCTGACCAACTTCACCTGGCACACGGTTCCGGCAATGCCTTGCGCTGTCAAGGTCTGCCCCCATGGGTTCAGGTGTGTGGCTTTGCCACACGAAGGGGTTTTGTTCGTCTGTGGTGGGTCCTTTGCAGAAATGGATTGCCCCATCAATGTGGTCTTGAAGTTTGAAGTGCAGAGTAACCGGTGGACAGTGATGAAGAGTATGATCACTCCAAGATCATTTTTTGCCTGCGGGCTGATTAACGGGATGGTTTATGTCGCGGGAGGGAACAGTACGGATCTTTTTGAGCTCGGGTCGGGCGAGGTCTTGGATCTGAAGAATGAGACTTGGCGTCCCATTGCAAACATGAGAGCAACTATGGCTTCCTATGATGCTGCAGTTCTTGATGGGAAGCTTCTGGTGACAGAAGGCTGGTTTTGGCCCTTCTATGTAGGGCCAAGGGGTCAAGTATATGACCCAAGAACCGACCGTTGGGAGGGTATGTCCTCCGGACTCAGGGAGGGTTGGACCGGTTCGAGCGTCGTGATAGATGACAACTTATTTGTTGTTCCGGAACACGAAAGGGCAGGTGTCAAGGTTTATGACAAAGAAACTGACAGTTGGAAGAAAGTTTATGGACTTCCTTTGCCAGAGCAGATCAGAAAGCCATTTTGTGTCAATTGCTGTGAGAATAAGATTGTTGTTGTGGGCCGAAACCTGCAGGTCGCTTTGGGACACATCGCGCGACACGAAAAAAGTGAAGAGTTTGAGTTTTGGGTTCAATGGCAAGTAATCGAATCGCCCAAACCTCTTTACCATCTGATGCCAACTTCTGCTCAGGTTTTGTTTGCTTAAGGTAAGGAGCCATTTTGGCTTTGGTTCTGAACACAGTTTGGAAGGGCAGTTATGGCAATGTGTGCATTTTTCCCCACAGTTTTCTTTTTCATTAATGGGTTTTTAAAGCTCTCTTGCATTTAATTAGTCTGAAAAGCTGCTTTCAAAAAAAAAAACTAGTCTGAAAAGCTTTTTTTTTTCAGTTCAGCTTGGCTTCTGTTTCTTATGTTATGTGTAGATAGATATACAATATGTAAAATGTAATTGGAACAGATATAGTGAAATGGTTTTCATCTTCAATTTCCACAACAAATTTTCAATGTCTTTTCTTGCCATTCTTTTTCTATTTTGTCCTACCAGAGTCTTTAAACCCCAGGTCTAGAGGATTCTGAAAGCTCTGATACTATGTTAAAGAACAAATTCAACCAAAAACCTCAAGCTTCTGATTGAAGTACGGAATGATGAATGTAAGCATATAATATGTCTACATTAATTCGTTTTTCAATGTATATAGAAAGTCATAATAGTCCGTTACGTTACGAGTAAATTGTATTTGGACAGATTCTTGAACATGGCTCATTATATCTTATTAAGGAAAAAAAGTTTGCAGTGTGTTTTTGTGAAGTAGAAATAAAGGATAATTATATTTTTGTCTTCTTGTATTAGTTTTTTTTATTTGTTTTGAGTGTACCTAAGCAGATGAGAATCTCTGTCAATCATATCATTCCTAATTAAACACCTTTTAATATTTATTGCTGCTGTTGTTTATAATTTCATAGTTATTATTAGCCATTTAAACACCTTTTAATATTAATTGATGTTGTCTAATTTACTCTCTGTCCTTAAATAAATGCCCTGGTTTGACTTTAAAATTTGTTTTGGGACATCCAAATAAAAAAGATGTTGTCAATTGTAATCAACTTATAAACATACTTATATTTTTTTAGGACCTGTTTGGGAACAGCGTTAGAGATTAACGTTAACGTTTTGGATAAAAATTTAATGGCGCAGATTACTTTGAAAACACTAACGCTAAACGCTGACTGTAGATAACATTTTCAAACGCTAACGGTAATTGCTAATGTTATTCCCAAACAGGCCCTTATCATATTAGCACAGTACTAAATTTATGAACAAAAAAATCATTTTACTGGACTACTGGAGTATGTATATCTTGAGTAGAGCTGAAACTGGGCCGGGCAATCTATCCAAGTCTGAGGGCCCGTTCTCTTTTTGTTAGGTTTGGACAGAACTATAAGGGCCCGTTTTAGACAAAAAGAAAAGTTTAATAAATGACGTGGACTTTCATTAAGCTCTCAAAATGTGGGTCTGGCCTGAGCCCATCATGAATTTATGTGTTTTAATTATTTTATTCGTCTCTACATAGATTACACTCTCTGATTAACATACGGGATACTCCTTCCGTCCCGTTTTAAATCGTCCATTTTGACTTTGGAGCATATTTAAGGAATAGAAAAAATAGAGTTGATTTTCTGAAATTGTCATTACTTTTCTAGAAGGGTGACGATGAATGAGAAGATAAGGTGAAGAAGACTAACTTATTTTAGGGGTAGTTTAGGTATTTTACTCTTAAAAGTTTACGATAACAAGAAACAGACAACTTATTTTGGGATGGAGAAAAAAGAAAAACAGACAATTTAAAATAGGACAGAGGGAGTACAAAACTTTAGGTCTTTAAAATTTATTTTATTAAAATATTAGTATCGAGTAAAACATACATATTTAAGTATAAAAAATTTTACAAAATAAGAGATGACAAAAATATTTTATTTTATCAAATGATTACTGAAACAAAAGCACAGTTGAGTTGTTTTTGTTTCATCATTTGATATATGAAATAAATAAAAGTTACCTAGAATGGTAATAGTAGTGCAATCTATTTAAGGACAGAGAAAGTATGTATCGAATATGTATTATAATACGGACAGAAGCACTCTATATTATACTCTGTATACGGTTTTGAACGTGAAAATATATTACGAGATGCAATTGATTATTTTTGCTCACTTCAACATCGGGTTTACCTTAATTGCATTTTTTACACGAGCTATATACTTTATTCTTTGGGAAAAATACTAAAATAGGAGTAAAACATTGTAAATATACCAAAATAGGAGTTTCATTCTTTATTCCCAAAATAGGAGTTAAAATGCATTTATATTATCAATCATAACCATGTACATTACCTAAAATGAACACGTACAGTGTCACATTACCACAATGCGAATTTTTATTTAGGGAATAAAAACATGAAACTCTTATTTTGGTGCTTTTTCTATGTTTTAGTTTTATTTAGGGTGATTTTTTTTATTGTTTTTTTATTTATTCAATTTCTTTAAATTTAACCAAATGTTACTATAATTTAGGCAGAACTTGTGGCCATAAAATTTGCTTATATCATATCCTCTTGAGTGGCGCCATGTGTATTATTTTTATTTTGGCGAGAAACCATTGAGTCTTCATGTTTTGGTATTTTGTGTTAGGTAAAATGGAAGTTTCAGAATTATCAAAAAAATGGGTGGATAATGCTATACCAATTTGTTATTGCTATTCTCAAATTGTGGTTTTTTATAAGGAATGCTTGGAGAAATAGTGAGTGACAATGATACGTTTTGTTTGGGAGTCACATTAAGTAGATAGAAAATGTAGAGAATGAAATGAAAAGAAAGAAAATGAAGAAAATATAAAGAAAATGATTGTTATTATTTGGTTAAATAGGAAATGAAGACATAATATGGAAAAAGAAAAACGAAAAGTAAGATCAAAATAGGTGTAGAGTGAAAAGTTTTTATGTGGGTTCTATCATTTCTTTTTTCTTCTTTTTCTAACCTATTCAAAATCTAAACAAGAGAAAATGTCTCATTTTCTCTGCTTATATTTTCTTTCTCTCAATTTTCTATTCAGCCATACACACTATTAGCGTGTGTTTGGTCGGATAATTGGTGAGAAGGAAAAGTGGAGAAGAAGAAAACATTTTCTCTTGTATGAACAGAAAAGAAAAGGGAGGGAAAAAAAAGTGGTGGGCCCACACAAAAAAACTCTCTTCAGACATGGGGAAAAAGGGGATGGAAAAACATTCTACTCTTTTTTCGTTTCACATTTTTCTTTTTATTTTCTATTCATTTAAACAATAATAATCGGTTCTCTATATATACCAAAAAAGCAATGATCACTTTCTTCTATTTTCTTTGCTCTTCGTTTTATTTATTGATTTTCTTCTCATTTTCTATCTTTCTCCTCATCCAAAAAAATAGGTATATAATAGTAATTATACATTTAGAGACAATATAAAATAGGTGTGTGTGTGTGTGTGTATATATATATATATATATATGTATGTATGTATGTATGTATGTATGTATGTATGTATGTATGTGTGTGTACACACACACAGATATGGTAAGAAACATTTAAAAACCATATTCAGAAAAAAATGAAACAAACATGTACACAATATGTTACTCACTCCATTACTTGCGAGGTCTCCCAAGAAGGGTCTTTCTCCTCAATGTTGTTTTTAGTGTGTATGTTTATACCACTTTGAGTTGGGCTTTATTGATTTGTTCTTTTTCAATATACTCAACCTTTTCTTTGTTCTGTCTAAATCTTTCTTCTTCATTCTTGATGTAGTGTGGATGCATAGGATACTCATTTCATTGTACTTCTCATTGTCTTTCTCTAAGTCTCAAATTACAGATGAAATTAAAGGATATTGCTAAATCTACGTCACGTTTGGTTATATCCACTCTTTTTTATGTCAAATAGATAAGTTTATCTTTAATCCTTGATGTGTCAAAAGAAAGAAGTAAATGTGCAAAGGTGTCCATTTCTTATAAATATAGGGTGGACTTAGCCAATTAAGGAGTGGACTTAGTAAAAAAGAAAAATATACTTAATGAAATGGAACATAAAGTCATAAAGAATAAACAATAAGACCCTTCGGCTTTTAATGGTAGCATTTAATTTTTGCATTTTTAAAACTACTTGTAATTTGCACAATGAAAAAGTTATCCAAACTTCAATTGGTAATGCCGTTATCACCCAAGCCCCGTAACAACTCAGTCATTGAAATTACTGAAATTACACAAAATGCCACTCCTATTACTCCTATGGTAGGTATGTTCCAACAAATCACATTACAGTTTGTAAAATTGTAACATGCCATTCATTTGATGAATAGCAAATTACAAAATGGCTATGAAGCAGTTTGAATATGAAAGGAGCACAATAGTCAATCATCATCAGTTGTACAATACTCTGCTATAAACTAAAAATCCCAAAATTGCCCAAGGAGAGAAAAAATAAGAGTGTTTGCAACCTGTTAAGTTCTTTGCTTCTTCTTCTTCCCTTTCAGCTTCAACATCTCATCATCATTATTGGAGTTTCGTTTCGCTTGAACAGCATTCGCTGCATCAGCTTTTACTGCCTTTTTTTCTGCTTTGATGGGTTTTTTCTCTGGCTTTGGCAACCTGCACATTGCTAATATTGTGTTACGCAACTAGAAGATGGGCAAAAGAAACACATGCAATGTTTATAGTCAAGTATCCGGTGGCATATCCCTCCGGAGGGAACCCCCACCCCACCCACCTATCACCTATATACTACCTCCATCCCATAAAACTTTTACTTTGGAAAAAAAATGTGGGATTTAAGAAATGTGTAATTTTGGTGTAGCTTTCCCATTTTACCCTTTATTGTTCTTGTAGGGTAGAGGATGTGATATGTAGATTAATAGTGAATCTAATTTGTGAGGTACATGTGTTACTACAAGTCCCGAGGCGCCATACTTCATAGTCAACTAGTCAAGTAAACATACATATTGCACCAGTAAATACAAGTTTAAATCACTGAACAAGGCAAAGGTTTTAATATCATGTGATGTAAACAAGAAGATTGTCTAACTTCACCTCATCTTCTTGCCATTTTTTGGAGTTCTTAGAGCAGCCTTATCAAGAACGCTTTTGTAGTATTGAGTGAATGGAGCATTAAAACTTGACTTCTCAAGCTGCACAACAATCATTCATTGAAAAAGATGAGACTGATTAAAATCCTTCCCTACTACTAGTGATGACCGCTTACTGGGTAAATAGAGAGAAACCTGAAGAAATAATTCAGCAGATTGATGATCATTGGGTGAAAATGCCACCTCGTCTCTCTTCCTTCGGACAAAGTCTGCATTTTGCTCAACCTGCATCACCA